AGGAGTAGAATGGCTTGAGACCCCCCAAATCACATTTTGAGTAATATTTAAATGAATGCCTCGAGGCTGTTGTGGGGCTATTTGGCATCAGCTTAATAACACATGCTGTCCAGTTTGATTTTCTACGCAAGGCCTCAAGGATCACGTCTACATATGTCTAAAAAATTTGGTTTGGATACAGATCCCTCAATAAATTGTTCAATTTTGTTGGGGGGTTTTTCCCAGTAAAATTTCGGTTTATTTACATGTGCCCCTTTCTTTTTTCCTATCACCATCATCAGATCAAAACTGTAACTATATTGTCCAGTTTTTTTGGTTTATCAGTAAATATATGCTAGAATGGATAAATAAAACTAATGACATTCCCATCAACCCTAGCTGTACTTTGAATTTTGTGCAAATTTGCATGCTAATAAACTACGATTAAGATGCTGAACATTAGCTGCTAAACACCAGCATGACAAGCTGATGTCAGCATTTCTCTCACCACCACGGTGCCTAAATACATCCTCCACACAGCTCCCAGCATGGCTGTAATCTCATATCTTGTTTTTTATTAAGCCCTCCCTGACAGCTGGGTGGCTCCTTACTTCTACCTCTCCTCCCCCCAGTTTGTACCAAACTATCTCACTTTAAAAGTTAAAAATATCAAACCTCTACAGGGTAATATGTCATCCAACACGTTTCTTAAAAGATATCATTCAGCTATATTACACTCATAATAATCCCCACAATTATTAATAAGATTTTAAGTGTAAAAGCTATATATGAAATGTAACCCTTTTAGTGTCTTGGCGGGGGGGTGACTTTAAAGCCGTGTTCAGATTTCTCTCTACATCGTCAGTATCTCACCGCGTCCCTCCTTGTTCACATAGTATGAAAGGCTGAATATTAAGTTATTTGCATTCACAAGCCTCAGCATGGGCGTGATTCCATTTACAATCCATTTTACCACATGAATTGTATTTGTAAGACTCCATTTGTAAGGCAAAACTGTTCTATTGTGTAAATTATAAGCTCTTGTGTTGGTTTGTATAAATTCACAAGCCATATTTCAATGTATGCTGTACTTATGTGCCATAATCCTGCCTTGCTTTATAAGGCAGCGGATTCCATTGTCTTGATTAATAAGCCGTGTTATTGCTTTGCATGGATTTATAATCCCCAGCATGCTGTTTGCGTTGGAGGTGCTAAAAATCCACACACAGCAATTTAAAGTGAGCTCGGCAATTAGCTCAGCAGAAATCACTTCCTTTGTGAAGGTTAGGAGCAGTTGTTTTGTTTTGTTTGGATAGCTGAGCCTTTGTATATTTGTGCAGCATCACTATCCACCAACTGTGGTGCACAGTTTATTCCTCCATGCTGGGATGTGTAGATGAGACTCCATCCTCTACAAG